TTATAGTAACTGCAGCTTCTTCTGAAACCAACTCGCTGCTGCTAGTAAATACATCTTCCTGAAAAGCATTTAATATATTTAGCTTAAAGCAATTCTTTATTAAGAAGGGATCTCTGTTTCTAATCACTACCCTGCCTGCCTGATAATTTTCCCATGCCAGAGATGGAGATGTGCAAAATACATCCTGTGCAAGTTCTAATGTAAATTAATAATAGTTCAAAACAAATTACTTAGTATTGGAGGAATGATTCTAATTGTAATAATAATGTTTTAGTAAAAAAAATAGTAGTAATTTATCAGCAATTAAATTTGTGGAGCATTTGCTGGTAGCAAACCACACTGTGAGCATGACCAACATTATCAACCTGAGGCTTATGTGTAGGAGGCAACACTTTCCTCTGGTGGGAGGAGAGTTAAAACTGATTTGAACAAATCTGAACCCATTACAAAATGGTGAAATTTCCATTGGCACCCCACGACAGAAGTTGCTGGCAATTATTTATGTAATGGAAACTGGTTCTTCAGGATGTTCTGCAAAATGAGTTTTCCTCCTTGAGTACATACGGTGACGTCACTTTGGTATATAGGGTAGGATGCAAGTTTGCAAGTACCTTCCTAATGTGGCCTCTCCCACCTCCTACTTGTAAATCTGCCTTAGTGCAGGATGGTATTTAGCTGGAGAGCATACTATAGCCACACTTTGTGTGGCAATAGATAATCAGATGTAAAGGCAGTAGCACTATGTTTGTTCAGCATTATTTCCCAAATTGGTTGGCACCATTGACTGTGGGCAACGTGGGCTCAGAGAGTCTGTTAGTATGGTTAGAAAGGTCTCTGTTTCATCATCAGTATAAAGAATCCTGGAAGATGTTTTTCTCTTGACATTTTTATTACTAGATATTGCTGTTTTGAATTCATGGAATCATTTAGGTTGAAAGGGACATTTTGAGATTGTTTAGTCTAACTGGCCTGCTCAGCCAGGGTCAGAGCAGGTTGCTCAGGGCTGTGTCCAGTTGGGTTTTGAATATCTCCACAGGTGGAGACTTCACAGCTTCTCTGGGCAACCTGTTCCAGTGTTTGACCACCCTGACAGTAAAAAAGTGTTCAGATGGAATTTCAGATGGGAAAGTGTTTCAATTTGTGCTCATTGCCTCTTGTCCTGTCAGTGGGCACTACTGAAAGGAGCCTGGCTCCCTCTTCTCCACTCCCTTCCACCAGGTATTTACACAGATTAATAAGATCCCCACCCCCCTGCCCCTGGGCTTTCTCTTCTGCAGACTGAACAGTCCCTGCTCTCTCGTATGACACATGCTCCACTCCCTTAATAATTTTCACAGCCCTGCTCTGGACTTGCTCCTGGAAATCCATACATCTCTTGTACTGGGGAGTCCAGAAGTGGCCCCACTACTCCAGATGTGACCTCACCAGTGCTGAATAGAGGGGAAGGATCATCTCCTTCAACCTGCTGGCAGCACTTTTCTTAACGCCATCCAGCATGCCTAGGGACTCTGTTTTTCCTCAGGTGTAGGATTTGCATTTTGCTCTGAACTTCATAAGTTTCCTGTCAGCCCATTTCTCAGCCTGGCAAGGTTCCTGTGGAAGGCAGCATGACCCTCTGGTGTATCAGCCAGATGTAAAAACCGTACAAACCCCTCTGAGTTTTGTATCAACTGCAGAACTGCTCATGGTGCACTCTGTCCACCCAGCTAAAGAACCCCACAACAACCCAATGTTGTGGAAAATGCCAGCTCACCTCTGCTCATGAAGTTTGTCACAGGGGTGACATTTACTGTGCTTCACTAGCTTCTTAGGTTTAAAGAGATAAAAAATGAATGCTCTTGTATTTGTGGATGATCTCTCCCATATTAAGCCCTGATATTACAGTTTCTCTACAGGTATTTCTTTTTTACCTTTTTTTAATGACAGAGAGGGGATGCCTCATGGACTTGCTGTATCTGGAACAAAATTTAACATTTCAAAAGTGAAAGTAAAGGACTATGCATATAAATTTTTCTGTCACTTCATATATGGTTCTGAACAATTTACGGCCTACATCAAATTAGAACGCCCAGGTAAGAGATCTCCTCTTGGTAAAACAGTGATCAGTGACACTTCTCAGTTTCACAACACAACTACATAGAGCTAGAACTGCATGGTAAACCAATGTGCAAAGTGAGCAATGCACCTTAATTAAATTAAGCTTAAATCCTTTGTGATTTTTTTTAAATTGCATTCTTAGCAAAATTAAAGAAGGTTGTGAGCATCCTGCCACTTGTTGGAGGCCTCAGTCTTGTGCTCAGAGGCAAGGTTAAGTTTGACCTATTGCTGACTAGCATGAAATTTTCTCTTTAGTAGATGAACTTAAAGGTAAAAGGAGCTTTAAAAACTCAGATGCAAGGCTGAAGAAGTTAGTTCTTTTTATTTAAAACCAGATATACAGAAAAGCAAATCACCAGATACTCTAAGTGCCCATGTACATATTTATTTTGAACTTAGCTGCAGAAGAGCCTCTGTAGCTAAGTTAAAAAGCCTTCTCTATTAAACTTGCGTTGAGGTGGTTTTGTCAAATCTGAACCAATCCTGTGGCAAATATTGCTCTCAAACAACTTTAACTGGACAGATCATAAACAAGTCATTGACTGAAAGTGGATCTAAGCTCTAGCTTGTTACATGAGTGTAAGTTCTTCCTAAGGATTGACAGGGTAGGATTTAACCTCAGAAATCCTTTAATATAAATGAACTAAAAAACACAGTTTGTGGAAGGTGTTTAAGGACAACAAAAGAGCAGGTTCAGTGACAGATCTTTGAAAAGGCTCGAGAGAGTAGAAAGCTGGTTGGTTTGGGGAGAACAGCATGGTCAGGAAATCACTTCTTCACCTCTGACTTTCTTGCTTCTGACTGATGAAATTTTGTATGAGAATTCTCACTCTACCACTGTACTGGGATATATGTGAATATTTTGGTGTTTCAGCTGAAGAGTAGTCTCATTTGTCACATCACTAAGGTAGCTTTTCTCTGAAAGACAAAAAGTTGGATTGTCAAATAACAGTATTAGCAGAAAGCATGAGTGAAAAACTGGGTTTATTTTGTTGGGGTTTTTTTCAATATTTTAATTACTAAAGAATTCTGACATCTCATTTTTCTTTCTCTGGTTCTAGTGTGTAACTGTGTTTTGTTTGTTTGTTTTCTCTCATATTCCACTCTACTGCAGCTCCAATCATTCACGGTTACTTAATTGGAGGAGGAGTTTCTTTGGTATTTTTCATGTTTTTTACTCTCTTTATCTACAAGATCTTCAAAATTGATATTGTGCTTTGGTATCGGGACTCCTGCCACCTTTTCCTGCGTAAAAAAGGTGTGTTTGTGTGACAGCACTGCCTGTGGGAATGAGCCTCCAGCTGCCCTTGCAGGGCTGTGGCTTAACCTCACCGAGTGTGCTGGGTCTTCCTTGGGGTTTTTGGAAGGATAACAGGCTTTTAGGATTTTGAGAATTAGTTCAGATAACAAAAGCCTCTACAGGGGAAAAATCAGCAGCCTTCCAGGAATATAGGACTATCATTGCTTCTCCTGAAGACCCATTGAATGCTGTTCTGACAGCAGTTATTGACATTTCCTTTAATTAATTAATTAATTTATTATTACTTCTAATTATTTTTTTTAATCACTTTTAATTACTTTCTTACAGAAAACAATAATACAGTGGAATTGTTGTGTGGTGTTTTTTTTTTTTTAATTTATTTTCCATAGACAAGCAAGGACAAATTTCACTTTGTTTTGTATTTGAAGGCATTTCTGATTATTTTTCTTTCTGTAAATTGCTGGCATTCAGAAAAATGTTGATGGGGTGCTGTCTATGAAAGTATGCTGAAGTATGGGTCATTTCCAGACACCTGAGAGGAGGTATCTGGCTAGAGAAACAGAAAATATTGTCTGGAAGTATTGACATTCCATTAAGATTTTTTTTTTGAAGTCTTTTAAATTTGGTCTTTCTGAAAATTTTCCAAAATCCTGCATACAGTTCAGACCGTGAGATTTGCCAAATATTTAATTTTTGTTTTCATGTTTAAGTGGTTGCTGTGTTTTGAAACTCCAGGTTACAAAAATGACCTATGAATTATGTGGCAGCTGGAATTTTAAGTATTCAGTTGTACTACTGGAACAGCTATTTTCCAGATAATTCAGTTATAACATTTGTTTTTTATTTAGAGTTCAAAAAATGGATGTTCAAACCTACTTAATTTTGCAAGTTTCTTTTGCCTATTCAGATCCAGCATACTGAATTATAGAAGGCTTGAGTCTACCAATATTTCAGGCTTAGTATAACAACACATGCTTAGATAATAGCAGGATTAGGACCTAAAACAATAATAAAAAAACCCCCAAAAGTTAAATAAAAAAGAAAAAAAAAAAACAAACACCAAACCAACAACCCCAAAGTTTAAATATTTTGTTTGTTTGCTTGCTTGCTTTTGTCTTCAGAATCCATTTTTATATTACTCCTTTTGCTCACTCTAGCTGCAGATGGGAAGATCTATGATGCTTACGTTCTGTATCCAAAGAACAGAGAGAGCTGCTTGTATTCATCAGATATTTTTGCTCTGAAGATACTGCCAGAGGTCTTAGAAAGACAATGTGGCTATAGCCTCTTCATATTTGGGAGGGATGATTTACCAGGGGAAGGTAAGCTATCTGAAGACAAACTACACTCAGTTTTTCTCATTGGCAGCTGCAAATGTAACTCAGAATAATCAGAACTCACAACTCAGGCAATCAATCAGATATGATCCTAAATGTCTCCCACCATCAAATGAGCTATGATTTTCTTATTCTCTCTGATAGAGAATGAGGAATAGAGCACTGGGTGCTCCCCTAACATCTGTTTATCTCAGCCTTTCCTTTGTCATTATTTAGCTATTGTAGGGGGTTTTTTTATGTAGCCTAGACAGCTGGAGATGGAAGGAGGCTGAGGGGAAGGAGAGTTGGAATTGTGGGGAATGATGACTGATGGCAGGAAACATGGGAAGGTAGGCCTTGTGAGTGGTGTGAAGATAGCTTGTTGCCTTGAGGAGCCATTTGACAGGGTGACCTCTCTAGTGTTTAATTTTTATTTGCTCTGAGAATTGCTGTCAAACCAGTGGGATGGAATAAAGGATGCTTAGACACTGCAGGTGGAAAAAAACCAAACCAAACCAAATCAGCACTAAGTTATCACTGATGATCAGCTGTATCAAAGACTACTTGTCCCTAGTGAAAGTCTTACAAACCATTGCCTTCCCTGCAGGCCTCTAAAATCCTTGTGGAGGTGTCCTCTGTGTGCACATGCACCTCATATTTAAATTTCTAGCATCTGACACTGAAACTTGCAAAGTTTGTCCCACTGACTGCTTATGTGAGTTGAAATACTGCAAATCTTCTGAATCTTTCCTGGTCTTATGACTTTTAAAAGGTAATACTGAGACAGTAAAGTTGTAAAATAGGAGTTAAAAAGAAGTTTTTGTTTGAGAAGAAATTGGATCTGAGCAAACCTACATGAGGTGGTTTGTAGGTCACCTTTTTACATCAGAAGGCTCTTGGTAGTGATCTGAGAAGGAAGGGTTCCCTGAGAAGTAGAATATAAAGTGCTGCTTTATTTTCCCAGCTTGAAAAAATGTCATAGTCTGTTCTCAGAATTAACCTGTGTGAGTTTTGTGTGGTATTTACCATATTTTCCTGTTTTAGAATTAATTGCTGGAATGCCAATGAAGGGAGGATTATTTGCTTTCTCTTCCACTTACATGTAACAAAAACCAATTGCATAAACAAGAAACAGAACAAGCTGTTTAAGGGGAAGGATCATAGTTTTATCTAGGCCTATGGTTTTGGAACTTGTTTTTATTGCAGTTGCACCTATGATGGTAATAAAATGGCATTAGCAAGGCAAGTAGTAGATAGTTGGTAGCTCTTCTCTGTTCATGCAAAACAAGAACATAGCTGTGCAGTCTGATGGGGTCAGATTGTGTTGCTTTGGCCAAACCTCTGCATGGCTAACCCAGTGTAACTGCTTCCATGCTCTTATCCTGCCCCTGTGTGTGAGGTAAAGTGTGTTAGCTCAAATACCGAACAGTGAATAAACCACCTGCAACATGTTGCTAATAATAATAAAACAGGAAACATACAGCCTTAATTTTTTGTTTTGCACAACCTTTCTTTCCAGCTGTGATCAGCACCGCTGATGAAAAAATCCACCAAAGCAGAAGAGTGATAATTGTTTTAGTACCAGAACCCTCCTCTTACAGTATTCTAGAAGATGTGTCCGAAAAGCAGCTAGCCATGCATAATGCTCTGATCCAAGATGGCATTAAAGTAATTCTCATTGAACTTGAAAAAATACAGGATTATGCAACCATGCCAGAGTCCATCAAATACGTGAAGCAAAAGCACGGGGCTATCCGGTGGAAAGGGGACTGCTCAGGAAAATCTCACTCAGCAAGGACCAGGTTCTGGAAGAAAGTGCGCTACCACATGCCAGCCAGAAACAGCAGCTCTTCATCAGGACTGCATCTGTTACCAAAAGACTTCAACTCTCCCTAAATAAGGAAGGAAAAATAACACTTCATAAGTAATTCAGTTCACACAGTCGGTGAAGGATTGATTGGAGGTCACAAGTTTCTGTTCTGTGAAGTCAATCTTGTCTGTGTTTCCTGGATTGAAGGTACTACGACTTCAGCTACAGATGTGAATCATTTTTTCTTCTGGACAGATCAACAGAATGCCTTGAAATGTCATCAGTAGCACAGTGATGACGTGGAAAGCATATAGGAAGTACATGAATCCTTTTCCAGGAGTTGCACTGGGCTTTGGTGGAATTCTTTTCATATTTTTAATGGAAAGAAAAAAAAAAACAACAAACAACAGAAAACCAGAAAACTTGTTTTTTTGTGATCAAAGGTTGCATATGAAGGGAACTATATTAATTATAATTGTGATACTATGTAACGAGCATGGTTGATGCCAGTAAATGTTTTTCTTTCCATATTTCTAATGAAATGACACAATGGCTTTGTTACATTATTTGCCTTGTTGGATTTGCTGAAAGATAAATCCCTCTGTGTTACTGCATCAGTATGTTATCATGCAAGAGAAAAGCTGAGAGACAATCCCAGCCCCAGCAAAGTGCTACTGAATCTGGCAATGTGTAAATGATTTTCCCTGATCTTTTTTACATTTTAAAGAACTGGACTATTTGTAGTCACTTGTCCCAGGCACACACTGTAAAAATACCATTGTAATGCTGTACTGAGTCAAAAAATTCATCTCCAGAGGATATTTTGTTTTCCAGTTAAGTGGCTTACTATATTGGTTCTTTTTTTACCCAAGTGGAACAGTTGGCTAATGACACAGGCTCTCTCATGGGCAGTACAGGTTGTCTGGCCTCATCTGTTTCACTTTAAGGACCAGATCAAGGGGCTTCAGGGCACCCACTTCTTGTATGTCACCCTTGCTGAAGGAGAGCAGCTCTTCCCACCTGCTCCCAGGCTGGCTGAACAGACTCATGTGGCAGGAATCATTCTTTTACTTGGGGTAGCCTTCTCCCAGATCAGTGAGTTTACCCGCTTCCTGCAGGGTGCAGAGTGCAATGGGAGAGGCAACAGAGTAGAGAGACCACACTTTTTGGCTCCAGATGTTTTTAGAAAATAGAGCAAAAATAGCATTGTTGCCCAGTGCTCCTTAAAGTGAGAGAGAGATGCCTTGTGTCACCTCCTGCAGCTGCTTGCTTTTCTCCTTTCCCTCTGCCCTCATGGTCTAAGGAAGCCAAGGTGACTGTGTGCTGAATTTGACTGAAGCTGAATGAATTAAGGCTGAAGTCGCAGCTTCCAAACAGCTGATTCAGAAGGGAAGTTACTAAAACTTATGCTGCATGTTGAATCCTTTTTTTTTTTACCAATAATACGTATGCCACAACTATCATGTTAGCTCTGAAGCTACATCTGACTTGTGTGGGCAGTGACATAGTTTGTAATGATTGATTCTTTTTTTGAGCAGAGGGAATTGATTTGATTGATTTTTTTAAAAACTATAGATCAGATTAATGCCATATTTTGACACTGCAGTGTTGACTTTTTCTTAAAACTTATGCTGCATGTTGAATCCTTTTTTTTTACCAATAATACGTATGCCACAACTATCATGTTAGCTCTGAAGCTACATCTGACTTGTGTGGGCAGTGACATAGTTTGTAATGATTGATTCTTTTTTTGAGCAGAGGGAATTGATTTGATTGGTTTTTTAAAAAAATTATCAGTTTAATGCCATGTTTTGACACTGCAGTGTTGGCTTTTTCTTCTTTCATGGCTCAAGTCTTATGCATCCATCCTCAACCAAACAAAACTAATAGTGTGAAGTCCATCCCATGGAAGTACTGCCCAGTGAACGTGGGGTGGTATTACCCCCGTGTTCAGCCTGACAAGTGACAGATCCAGGGGAAATAAGTTCCTCTCCCACATCAAGTGTTTTGGTTACCTTGGTGTATGCTGGAAAACTTGAAACTCTGCTCCTGAGAGACAGTGCCTTCTGAGCTTTGTGAGTGGTGTGTGTTTGGCCAGAACGGGAGAATCTCCAGTTCAAGAAAGGAGGTAAAAAAGTGCATTTGAAGCATCAGACTACTTCAAACTGTCCTGGTGTTTTGTTGATGGTGTTTTATTGTCTGGGTGTTTTATTGATGGATGTCACATATGTATAGACCAATGCACGTGGTTATTGTCTGTTCTCATTCTGTGTTTTAATTAGGACAGAATTGTCAGGGGAAGGTCAGTTCTGGTTGTCAAGTGCTTGCACAATCTGCTTGTAAATGTGTTGTGTGTTCAGTGACAGCCTGTTGTAGGGTAAAAGAGCCTTGAGACTCATCTGAAGCTACTGAGACCCACCTGAGGAAGGCTAATTGTTACATTTCACACTGACAGAAGAATTTCATAGGACATTAGCTGTACAGTTTGGTCACAATACTCTTCTGTAAGAAGAACTCTACCAAATGTGAAGCCCACCTTGCCAGCTCGCAATATGCAGGACAGCCAACAGAGTTCCAGGGACCTCGGGCCTCCTAAATTATTGTTGCTGACTGGAATAGAATGAATGAAAAACTGCTACTATAATGTTATCCCTGCCCATAGGGATAGGAAAGTTATTTTACTGAGCCAAGTTATTTTACTGTTTTTAAAAAAAATTTGTTCCTTTTGATATGTCTATACAAATGATGCTGAAGGGGTTTTTTTGCGTGTTACGTAAAGGCACTTTGAAGAAAGGTAATTTTTTTATTCAATAAATGCACTACATGTTTTCTTACAGCACTGCTCGTTTTTTCAATGGCAAACAACAGTCTTGAAGTGTCTTAAACAAGCTGCTGTATTAGATCTGCCTCCAGGCTGCTGAGTATGTGTGCGGGAAAGGGTCTCACTAACCATTGTGTTAATCTGGTCTTCCCACAACATCTGTACTAGCCACCTTGCCCTGCCTGGGCAAAGGGGAGCTGTGAGCTTGGCCCCGCTCTGTCCTTCACCCTCCTTGCAGGGAGGTGAAGCCAGAGCAGCCCCAAAGCTGCTGCCTCACTCTCTGCTCAGCAGGGTCCCCAGCAGTGCCCCACTGAGCAACCCACTGCAGCTCCTCAAGAGCCGGGGGAATGCAAGCCCTCAAATGGAGGAAATGTGGAGGGCTTCTGGGCAGCCGTGGACGGGCAGCCTTCCCTGCTGGCTGCCTGGGGCAAGCCCTGACTGATCTGCTCCAGGAACGCCAGGGGCTTGGCAGTGGGGCCGAGGGGCCGGGCTCCGTTGTCCTCATTTCAGAAGGGCCAACGTGCTCAGCATAGGGTTCACAGAACAATTTTCAATCCTAATGGATAAAAGGAGCTTACAAAAGTAGGAGGTTTATATTTGGTCTGTATTTTTTTTTTTCATTCTGATTGTTTTGAATTTCTTGAAAGCTGTTGCTGACTCCTACTTCTGACCCTTTTTCTAGTACAAGTAACGCCAGCTCTGCTTACCTGCTAGTTTACTCCTGGGTTTCTTTTTTCATGCAGGATAGATAAGCTGATAAGAGTTCTGCAATGAGTTTTTGTATACCTGTGTAACTCTCACAGTAGTTGTTCTTCAGAATCCAAGAACTTTTGTTAACTTCTGCATAACCAGCAACAATAAGTCTAATTCTATGTATAGACTGTATCAGCATTTTCATGTGAAATTTCCCCAATGAAGTATTTTTAAAGACCTGTATTAGAATCATAGAATCCT